ACTATCTTACTCATTTCATTTAATTCTTACTATTCATCAAGTTATATTCTAAACAATACTAGAAAATAAAAAGCAAAAAGAAATAAAATTAGTGAACTCTGCTGTTTTCCTGAAAGAGAAGACTTTTTAGGTGGTATCTTAGCCTCAATACATCTTTTTTATTTCCAGGAAATTTTTCAGTGAAATGGCATTTGGAAAATACATTAGATAAATGGCTTCTGAACTAGTGTTCTAATCTAATTATTAAAACCAATCCATATTCATAAGTTGAAAGCTGGCAAAAAATATTGCTTTGATGCATTTATTTTATAATAACCTTGACGTGTTTTAAACGTGCCAGACAGATATCTTTAAGACATAGCACAATGCACTTCTCAGCACAGTGAAATGGCCACAGGACTGGAAAAGATTTATATACTGCATGAGGTAGAGACAGGCATGTACTCAGATCCAAGACTCTTTTGGAAGGGATGGGGCAGAGGAAACTGAGCATGTCTTATGAGTTCCGTGTCCCTATCTCCTAGCAGAATGTATATACTCAGAAAAGGCTGGACTGAATAATAGAGGTAGGGTTTGAATATGAAAGGTGAAGGTAACCTCATTGCCAGACTAGTCTAATTGTCTTAGTCAATATAGGTTGCTATAATAAAATACCATAAAAAAAGTGGCTTATAAACAACAGAATTTATTTCTCACAGTTATGGAGACTGGAAGTCTGAGATGAGGGTTCCAGCATGGTTGGGTTCTGGTGAGGGCCCTCTTTCGTGTGCAGATTGTGGACTTCTCATTGAGTTCTTACATGGCAGAGAGCAGAGCGGGGAGGCAAGCTCTCTCCTGACACTAATGGCACCAATCACAAACATGAAGACTCCACCCTTATGATCTCATCTAATCCTAACTACCTCCCACAGGCCCCACTACAATGAGGTGGTAGGATTCCATCATAAGAATATTGGAGGTTCACAAACACTCAGTCCATCTACTTTAAAAATAACCTTTGTTCTAAAATAGATTTTAGGGGCTACCTATTTCTTTCTTTCCACTAGGTCAGTTTTTCAGCTGTAGAGAATAAATATAACATATAGGATATAATATTATATGTTCTGAAAATTATGTGTTAATGATCATAATCTCATTGATGTGCATCACCCCAAATATAATGGAGAATGGAAGTTTTTATTCGTACTTTTTAGCAACACTCTTCCCACCATATACACTCACTCACTCACTCACTCACACACCCACACCCCCCCCCCACACACACACACACACGGGCTAAAAATGGGGGAGGAGAATAAAATAATGAAACAACATATTTTATCATAATTACTTGGTAATTCATCCTTCTAGATTGAATTATACTTGATTTTTTACATGTGAATGCAGCAGTTATATCCCTCTCACAATGAAATGTTTAATCTACAATAGTTCCTTTACAATAAGCTCATAGTCTTAAAGTAAAAAAAAAAAAACCAAGAAATATTACATAAACATTTCAATTATTTGTATGCATAAGAGAATTACAAAAGATAATTTATCTTAATGGGAATAGATAATGAAAAATAAATGAGAAGTATTAATGGTATTTCTTCTATTAAATTTATGGAAATCAACAAATATAAAAATATCTGTAAGAAAAAAAAGCAATGTGATGAACCTACAATCATCAAAAAAGCACATAATACTAATAAAATTGATTACTTTTGAAAAATAAATATTTCAATACTTACAAGTTTCATCAAGTTATTTTCTGTTTCCATGAAAAACACAGAAATGCAGTGAGAATTAGCTAGGTACTTTTAAACTTTACATATTTTTGTCAAAGAAATGCCCTAATCAGTCGTCACTTAAACACTTAGTGAAAAGAATCCTTCTCTTTCTAACAGAGGCTTATAATTTATTTTTTAATATGTGAAGCATTTACGGTGAGAATGAGCAGCGCAGATTTATGCTTGTCTACAAAGCACACCCGAATCATGAGTATAGAAGAGATCGGTAGAAAGATGAGTACAGGTTGGAAATGGTATTTTACTTTTTCCTATCACTGAATACAGTGGGATAGAAAACAAAATTTTTTTGATCCAGAAAGACTGAAATAGAATTAGAATTCATATTTCTCTCCTAAGGCCTCACTGTCAGTTTAAATTCTGAATCTCTAAGTAACATTTTGGCAAAACATTTCTACCTGTCAGCTGGATTCCAGTCCTTGCTTTGATACCGTGGGGCAGCTTCAGAAGGCCATGGATGCTGAGGGCTGGACAGCACGTGCGATCCTTGCTCTCCTGGAGTCGGACTGTCACCTCCTCAGGGAGAATCTACCACCTTGGTTGAGAAAGCACGTGGTTGTGGCTAGGGACCGAATGTTTTTATCTCCCCCCAGATTCATGTGTTGAAATCTAATCTCTAATGTGATGGTAACTGGAGGTGGGGCTTCTGGGAGGTGATAGGTCACGAGGTGATAGGTCATCTCTCATGAATGGGATTAGTGCCCTTATGAAAGACACTCCTGAGAGCCCTCTCACCCCTTCTCCCATGCAAGGACACAGCAAAAAGGCACCATCTGTGAACCAGGAAGTCAGTCCTCACCAGGGAGAGAATCTGCAGGCAACTGGATCATCTCGGTATTCCCCACCTCCAGAACTGTGAGACATAATTTTTTGTTGTTGATGCCACCTAGTCTATAGTATTTTTGTCTCAGCGCCCTGAACAAGCGGAGGCAGTTATGAGCACTTGAACTGAGCCTGGCTGACGGGAGTGGGGAGCCACGCCAGGCAGAGCAGAGAGCCAGGGCCAAGGCTCCACATCAGGAATGGCTCCGTGGAGAGAACACAGACTGCAGAGATCCAGTCCCAGCTCTGACCCTCACCAGCAATCTGGCTTTGAGCCCATCACTCCATCTCTTTGAGTCTCAGTGTCTTCATTAGTAAATTGACAATAAAAATACAGCAGCCTTCTACTTGCTAAGAGTTTCGTTTTCAAAAGCCATCCAAAGATCAATTTGCTTGTAAAGTCCAAAGTAATCTGTTTTAGAATTTCTTTCAAAATGGCAGTTTAAGCTGGTACTTCAAAGTTTAAAACCAGGAGTATGCTCTTATTATTACGGGTATATGTTATTTTGTTTTTTTTTTTTAAATAGAGTCCTTTTGCTTATGGAAACTCTGTTCTCCCGCCATGAATGATCCAAGGAGCGCTGCCAGCTCTCTTGTCTGCAGCTCAATGCCTAGCCCACTTCTTCACACGGTGCAGAACTGAGTAGTCTACGATCTTACAGAATCATCCTCGGCACAGGACAACAGTGTTTTCAGCAGCTATTTCCCCATGCTTCTCAAACCATGCTTGACCACTCCTGGGTTAATGTACAGTGGATTGGAATTTCAGGACAGATGTCTAATACATATACATTTTTAAATTTTTATTTTGTGTTTCCATTTGTCCAGGTGGCACAAATGTAATTGCAATCAATTCAGGGTCTTGTCGGTCAACAAAGGGTCTCATTCCTGGGGCTGCATATTTTATTCTTGGAGGCTTAAGGAGTAGCCTCTGGTTCTCAGTTGTCCTCATGCGTCATGCTGGCATCCACCCAGATATCCCGGTTCCTATTGTCTCTCGTCATCAATCTGTGCAATTCCTATCAAAGAAACTCTGCATCCTGCTCTTTCTCAGCTACTTTTGAGCCTGTCTTGGGTTCATGTTCGCTTCTCAAACCACACAGAATACAGGGAAGCCTGCAAGGATGTCTTAGGTTTCTCCACCTACTCACTCAGCATCCTTTCGTTATCTTTTCCAAGTTTTTATCAGAATGGTTGCTGCAAAGTGGCTGAAACATTCCTTTTCAAGGTTCTATTGTTAGCCTGTTTAGGTAGGTACAGAGTATGGAATGCTTCCCCCTGGGGCCTGCAGGATTGCCATCTTCTACATACAGTAGGAATTCATTGTTTACTGGGGGTCATTATATCATGAAGGCTGACTGCCCTGATCTTTCACTTACTAAGCTGACTTTATTCTCTGGTGTATTTTATTTTTATTTTTATTTATTTATTTATTTATTTTTTTGAGACAGAGTCTCACTCTGTTGCCCAGGCTAGAGTGAGTCCCATGGCATCAGCTTAGCTTACAGCAACCTCAAACTCCTGGGCTCAGGCGATCCTCCTGTCTCAGCCTCCCAAGTAGCTGGGACTATAGGCATGTGAAACCATGCCCGACTAATTTTTTGTATATATATTTTTAGTTGTCCAATTAATTTCTTTCTATTTTTAGTAGAGACGGGGTCTTGCTCGGGCTGGTTTTGAACTCCTGACCTCGAGCAATCCGCCTGCCTCAGCCTCCCAGAGTGCTAGGATTACAGGCGTGAGCCACCGCGCCCGGCTTCTCTGGTGTATTTTAATAGGATGAGGCATTACATTTGAAAAATCCCCTGTTAATGTGTCTTCTGCACAAAATTCATTTTGCACAGTCTTTGGACCAGAATGCCTGGGCTCGATTCCCAGCTTCTCTCCTTACTATGTGGCCATGGCCTCTCTGTGCCTCAGTTTCCTCATTTATGTAAACAGGGATAATAATAATAATACCAATGTGGGAGCATAAGGCCATTATGAAGATAAATTAAATTAATTTATCTATAGATCAGACACAGTGGCTCACACCTGTAATCTTAGAACTTTGGGAGGCTGAGGTGAGAGGACTGCTTGAGGCCAGGAGTTCAAGACCAGCCTGGGCAACATAGCAAGACACAGTCTCTAAAAAAAATAAATAAAATAAAAATGTAAAAGAGTTAGCCTGGGGTGGTGGCATGCACCTGTAGTCCCAGCTACTTGGGAGGCTGAGGCAGAAGGATTGCTTGAGCCTGAGGTTACAGTGAATTATGATCACACTATTGCATTCTAGACCTGACAACAGAACAAGACCATGTCTCAAAAAAAAAAAAAAAACCAAAAAAAAAAAAAAAAACAAAAACAAAAAGGAAAAAAGAATTAAGTTGTCTTTAGTACTTAGAACAGCACCCACAACATAATATCTGCTATTTGGCAATTATTTATTTATTTTTTTTGTAGCAATCATTGGATGAATCATACTCTAAGAAAAGCTCTAAGGAAATGGTAGAAAGGACAAATCATGTTGGATTGGAGGTGAGATGGGCAGTGGCAGAAACATTGATTTGCACATATAATACTATCTAGGGTAAGGGAGGAGGGTAGGTGGCACTCTGGATCCCTCCAGAGTTCTGGTGTCCTTTGCCAAGAGAGGAATATAGAAAGAGGCAGGAGTGAGTTGAAGATGAACTTCATATTCTACAATTTGGAAAAAGTACCATGAAAAAGCAAAGATCATGGTTTACATGCCTTTCTCCTCTGAGAGAGAAATCAGATGGTCCAGACAAGCTGGCCATCAGTGGGCTGTATATGGTAAAAGTGAAGTGAAATGGTGTGTGTGTGTGTGTGTGTGTGTGTGTGTGTGTGTGTGTGTGTTCTTAGCCTTTTCAGGCTGATATAACAAAATGCCATAGCCTGGCTGGCTTATAAACAACAGAAATTTATTTTTCATGGCTCTAGAGGCTGGAAAGTCCAAGATCAAGGTGCCGGCAGATTCAGTGTCTGGTGCGGGGCCCTCCTCCCCTCAGAAGGGAGTCCCCTACATGGCAGAGTGGGGGAGGGGTCTATCCCAGGCCTCTCTCATAAGGGTACGAGTTCCGCTGATGAAGGCTCTGCCCTCATGACCTAATTACCTCCCAAGGCCCCACCGTCACCTTGGGGGTTAAGATTCCAACTCACAAATCTTGGGGGGACACAAACATTCAGACCATACCATTGCACATGTGTCTGGGCTGTGTGTGGGAGAGTCTTCAGTTACTAGGTGGCCCGAGCTTCCCACCAGAAAGGGAAGGAAACGCATCACTGTCCTCACCGGCAGCCAGCACGTGGGAAGCAAGAACATGTATTTGCTGAATAAATAAATAAGATGACTCCAAATGAATGGTAAGTCAAATTGGAATTCGCAGGCTCTCAGCAGCTTTGCAGAGCTTTTTCCTGCTCCCCAGACGTCCTGGGCAGGAGTGTCTTTGGCAGGCCGTCTGCACCCATCGCAGGGACAGCCGCTGCACAGGAAGCTGCCAGAGTCCCCTTTGCTGTATGTCTTAGACCCAGACTACACTATGGATTTCCTTCCCTTTTATTAATGTCTCCAGAAATCTTTTAGGCTAGTAAATCTTTCTGAAAACACAGCAGTAGTTAGTAAAAAAGGAAAAAAGAAACCTTTAAAACCATCTCTTAAAATGAACCCAAGGATAATTATAGGCTCACAGGTATAAACACATTCAATCAAAATTGAATTCAGGTCTAAAGAGTAACTAACAGCATCCCATCCACCGCTTTGTGTGTGGAGCCCCGGACACCCCCAGCTGGCCACGTGCAGGATCCACTGATTAACAGTCACAGCGAATGTTCTGGCATAGGGAGAACAGGGAGAACTGGGAAAACTCCTGGGCTGATATTATTTCAGTCTTACTGTTGATTAATGGAGCTAGTCATTCACTAGTTAGCAATCCCTATCTCAATATATGTTGCTTTATTTTCTGACATGACACATAGGGCTGAATTCTTTGAATAAAAGATTTGATAGCTGCCATATTCCTGATAAATACCAGTAATAATAGAGGAAAATATGATTTTGTCCATATTGGATTTCTTGGAATTCAAAGGGAGTGTCCAAGGAGATTTTGTTCAGTTGATACTAAAGTCTGTATCTTTCTTCAGACTCACACCTGCCTCCCCTTCCCAGGACGCACCTTGGGCAGCTACTCTGTCCTGTGCCAGAACTGTGTTCAAAGCAGAGGCTGTCTCACATGAGGAGGACACGCTCTTCACCTCTGAAACTGACTAACTGGGGAGCCAGGCACTGAGGAAATGATTATAATTCCACAAGGTAAGGAATATGAAAGAGGCAGGCATCAGTTATTAGGAAGTAGTAATTAATTCTGCTTGGGCGGCAAAGGGGAAACAAAGCTAAAGCAGGAGGTCCTTGAAGAATTTTCCAGGAGTCTTCCAGACTTCATGTTAATAAACAAAGCCCACATTTCATATGTTTATCTGAATTAAAAAGATAAACTGCATTTCCAAATGTGGTGGTTTTCAGTCTTGACTGTGCATTACTAGAGTCACCTGGGGAGCTTGTGAAAAATGGGGACGAGGGAACTGCACCAATCAATGACATCAGAATCCCCGGAGACAGCCTCAGTCGCTGGTACTGGCAAACAGCTTCCCCAGCTGATTCTAATCATGCTGCCCAGCCTGAGAGCGACTCCTCACAGTGACCAACTCTGGGAGACCTTCTCTGCCTTAAGTCCAGGGGGGCAGTTATTTTGGGGGAGGGAGAGAGATGGAGCAGAACTATATATATCTTTGAAAAGAAAGTATAAAATATATGCAAAGGATTAAAATCTACAACTTCACTTTTATACACCTAACTATAGTGGGTGTAAAAATCAAATCCAAAGTGGCCTAGTGTGTGTGTATGTGTGTGTGTATGTGTGTGTGTGTGTGATGTTTATTGATGATAGTTACTAACAAGGCATTGAAAATTACACATCAGTATGTTGACCTAAAGACTCTTATATGCTAAAGAATTTGGGTTCTAAGTACTTGAAATGATGCCTGCCTCAATTAAACTATCCTGAGTGGTTTTTAAACATTTCAAGTATGCAATAGATTAAGCATAGAATATATTACCAAATTAAAAGTCTCTCCTGTTCTGAAAGACCCAAGTAATTTGAATAAACTATGGACTTTTGTTAATAATAATGTAATATATAAATATTAGCTCATTAATTGTGACAAATGAAAAATATTAAAGATGCTAATAATAGGGGAGACTGTTGGTATAGTGTAACACTGTCTGTACTATAATCTTTGCAATATATTGTACATCTAAACCAATTCAAAGGTTTGTTTTTTAAAAGTCTCTCCTTTTTGTTTTTAAAGTTGATATACATCATTCAATGACACCCTTCCCCTCCTGTGTGAGAATTTGACCTTCACTTAACTTTCTAGCTCTCTTCCCCTGTAATCTAATAAGATAGAATATCAACTATGTTACTAGGCCAACAGTGCTTATGATAAAAATGACACTAGGTTGATAAATTGCATCTGAGCTGGAAGAAATATAAACACCTGACATGAAGCCATAGCTTTAGGCTTTTCTGAGTGTGGGAACTCCTTCTAATTGGCATAATCGTTGTGGGGGCCTTGGAGGCTATCCCTGTGGACTTATAGGAGATTTTGGCTCCTATGAGACGTGAGGTTTTTAAATCCAAGGCAGCTCCCACACCTGCCTGACATGAAGCCCATTTCCTTGAACTTAAACTGTCACCTGGATGCCAAGAGATTCGTTTCTAGAAAACTGCATGGATTTTTCAGGTATCCCCAAAGAGGGAAGCCTGATGCTACCCTGATTCTGTCTTAGAGTTTTCTGAGTAACCAAATTGCTTAAATGCGGCCCATGGGAGACCTGTGAGTCTGTTAGAGGAATTCTACCTGATGGATATTGACTACCTATATCATTACCTCCTTAGAGAGGCTGTGGACAGATGAGAAATGGTGTATTATTTTCTCCCATATTTCCAGACATATCTACTGAGTAGTCACATAAATCAATTCAATGATCAGTAGTGACATAGGGACTTGTTCGGGCTAATTAGGTACTATCATAGTTCATTCAAAGATGATCAGAGAAAAGAGTGTACCTATCTATGCATCCATCTACATACCCATCCAACCATCCATCCGTCCATCCATTCATCTATTTATCTATTATTATTGAGGTTTTCCTTTATGGGGGGACAATATCAGCATGTAGTTAAGAATAATTTATTACAGAGTTTAATTTGGTAACACAGGTTCCTTGAAAAGTACAGGCGGGTATTAGGATCTTTGGTAGTTTGAAGGTATTTTGGAAGTCAAGAAAAATATTGAGATAAGAGAACAAACATGTTTCTTTCTAAGATGAAGACATAACCTTTAAAGAGTTGGGTAGATGAGGTATGTTCTTTTCTGCTTATCCATGAATAATATTACAGATGAAAATCATGAGATATCGCATTTGTAATACTGGCTGATAGGATTGCTAGCCCTCTAATGTGAAAAAAAAGTAGTTCTGGATGTGTACAAATAGCTTTATTTTTCATAGCTTCATTTTTATGTTAGTTTTATTTTATTCTTTACACGTCTCAGGAAAAAAATATATTTATTTCTAAGAGCCACAGTTAAAATCACATGGTCATATGACTGGATTTCAGTAGCCACTGAAAATTATCTTCCAACCCATGTTCAGAGCCATGCTCAAAGCCAATCTAGGAGCTCCTTCTGGATGAAATAGGGGGAAGGGCAGCATGAGGGCCCCTTCCATCCGGGGCCCTTCTTATGGTACTTGTGATGGGCTCCGTGTGACTCTCAGGGATCCCCACAGGAGAGTAGGTAGCTTATTCCAAGTGAGTTAAGTCCCTGCCCCAAACCCCATTCCTGGGACCTACCACACCCACATGCTTATTACATCAGACTGAAACCATGTGTTTACAGGCCTGTGTTTCCCACTAGGCCCCAGTGTGAGTGTTTTGAAAGTAGAGATTAGGTCTCATTTATCTTTGGCTTTCCAGCAAGTATCACAAGTAGTAGGCACTCAATGATTAATTATTGGAATGAAAAACAAACTTTGGGGTAAGTAGAGCAGTCTCAGATAAAGTGTCTGGGAGGCAATTCTAAAACCCCAGACAGTGCTGGGGACATTCTTTACCAAAGAAGAATATATAAAAGTCGTTTAGAAAAATGCTTGATAAAACCTCTTTTTATTCTACCACATTCAATTTCTCAAAACTGTGCCCTGTCCAAGACTATCAGAGCCTGCTGAATCTCTTTTCTGTCTTAGACAAATGCTTATTTCCAAATGTTCACCATGCCAAGATTTTGTTATCTAATGTGGGCACTCAAAACTCTAGGTAGGCGCTAATAACCTTATTGCTATTAAGGATACCAGATTAAAAATTAACAATGCAACCACATAAAATTCCAGAGATAACATCACAATTAGGACTACAAAACAACACAGTTCTTTACAGAATCTTCCTGTGCTTCTAATACTGGATTTTGTCTGATAAGCACTTGCCAACAAAGACATCATACTAATTACCATTTGCTATACAAAGGGCAAGAAAACTGATAAATGATTCATTGATTATTTTCTTTCTGAAATGATTCTTCTGTTCTTGTCCTCAAGTTACATTTGGATAATAAATGGAGGCCTTAAGTGCTTTCCCAAGGAGTTATTTAGAAGAAATCATGTTGACAATATTAATTCCTAGCAACTGTGAGTGCATACACATTTTCAAAAAAGGAGTAAAGGAGGACACAACAAATATATTGTGTTCTTTGTGCATGGAGAAGCATTGCCTTTTTAAAAGTAGATCTATGCTGTGAAATGTTCTTTGACTTCTCCATAAGATTCCGCAATCCCCACCACCCCAAGTTAGGAAAGGAGTAACTTCCTCTCCTCCATGTCCCCTGATAGCTGTTCCAGAGAGGCAAGATATCTCGCAGTATTTATCCTGGTTTTCTCGTCTTGAAAAGGTCAAGACACGATAGGTAATGTGTCTGGAGAATGGCTGGGCAAGAGCAGGAACTCGGGGAGAGGGGGAGTGTGAGCCCGTTCACAAGGTCTTCAGGGACTGGGCAGGAGTGGCCGAGGTGAAGAAAGGTGATGGCGATGGAGCAAGAGTGAGGGCCCCAAAGCTTCCCTTGATGCCTTCTCTTCCCTAACTGTCCTCTTGGGAAGCAAGTTTGCCACCCCCAAGTCTACATCGGAGGCCCACAGTGCTCTCCATCTGGACCTTTCCCTGGCACACACACCATGCGCCTCATCTGTAACGTGCCCCAGAGTGGCCTTTGTGTGTTTTCTCAACCCTTTTCCCATGTCTGTATCCCCATCTCAGCAAATGACATCAGCAGTTGTTTAGGCCAGAAACATTTCCTCATCAAACCCGTCTCTTGGTTCTTCCTTAACCCCACATATTAGTGCTGGGTTTTACTTTAGAATGTTTCTCAAATTCATTCCTTCCATCTTCCTTCACTTAGAACCTCCTCGTCTCTATAATCACTTCTTGAATCGCTTCTTGACTGATTTCTCTGCCCTCAGTCTTTTCTCTCACTTGTTCATCTCCTAAACAGTTCATTTCCTTTAATGCAAAGCTGATTATATCATTCCCCTTGATTAAAATACTAAAACATTGCTCTCCACTATCTAGACTAGAGAGCAAAAATCTAGGATTCTTCACCTTGCATAAGAATATCTTTACAATTTTATCTGTTTTCATTTCTGGCCTCTTATCTGCAGGCAGAGTCTCTACTTGCCTGGTATGTTTGACCATTCAGAGTAATGCACAGTACTCCTTACCATGACTTTTGTAAATTATATTTTTAGTGTTTAGGTATGATGTGCCAAGCACTCTTCTAGGTCCTGCAGCTAGAAGTGATGGTGTCCCAGCACATGCGTTTCTGGCCCAGCACATGTCCTTTCTTTAAAACTCTGCTCACTCATCATCTCTTCTGTGTAGTCTTCACTGACCCTCCCAGGCAAATGCAGCCAGGCCATTTTCCATGCTTTCAGAATTTATGGACCTCACATACATCACTCTGCTATGGCATAATATATATATATATATATATATATATATATATGTGTGTGTGTGTGTGTGTGTGTGTGTATGTGTGTGTGTGTGTGTGTGTGTGCCTTGGTATTTCTTTCCTTCACTAAAATGAAGACTGAAGTCCTTGAAGACAGAGGCTGTGTCTCATTCATCTCTGTATCCTCAGTGTTTAGGGTAGTGCCTGGTATGGAGTAGGCGCCTGATAAATATTTTCTGAATGAATGACAATATGCACCCATCGTGTGCATCCAAGATAAATCTGCTTCATGCACACTTGTACTGTACTCTTTACAAAATATGGGCACATCACCAGAAGACATTCCACCACACACACACACACACACACACACACCTATGTTAAAGTAATTCCCCAAATTTCTGGATCAAAATAAAATTGATTTGGGTGAAAATTAAAAATAACTGAAAGGGAGGTTAACAGTGGTTGCCTCAGAGTGGTGGGCTTCCAAAGGGCACCCAGGCATATGCTGTTTTCTCTACCTGAAATGTTCACCACCCCCCCACCATACCCCCACACTCCACCTAGTTAACTCTTACTAATCCTTCATATCTCACGTGCATTTCTTTAGAGAACTTTCCATCACCTAAATCTCCTCCCCCAAAATTAAGTGAAGTCCCCTGTCATGTATTCATTATAGCACCAAATCTTTCTTATTGCAGCCTTTATCTACCTGTAACTATATTTATTTATGTAACTATGTGATTAAATTCTATTTATTCTCCCAAATCATAAATTCGAAAGGGCAGGCTACCATGTCTGTTACATAGGAGATGCTCAATATATATTTGTTGAATAATAAATGAATAATCTACTATTTTCATAATAACTAGCCAAGATAAGCACTATTATCATCTGCATTTTCCAGAGAAAATGGACACTGAGTGCAGTCAAGTAACCTGCCCAAGGTTGAACAGTCAGGGATGAAACCCTAAGACAGTTGCAGGGTTTCTTTACACTGACTTCTTGTATCGCAGAGAACTAAATTAGAGCTATCTTAAAACTTTAAATAAATGAGCTCAGCTTTATTATTCACCGTTGAATGCCTAAGAAAATTATTAATTTTAAACATGAGTTAAAAAAAATATGAGTAGATCCACAGAGGGTTTGTCTTTTTTGATCTCTCAGCTCTGATTGGAAATAAGTCAGTAATAACAATGTTGCTGCAATCTCCACCATGAAGATCCATGTGCCTGGCATTTAACAGCAGAAAAGGTAAGCCTAGTCCCTTCTATTATATATGGTTCTTGCATAATTCCCAGTGTGAGTTTTAAATAATTTAAAAATGTAATATGATATTTGCAATTTAGTGAAACATATCTGACAACTGGGCATTTTAGAATTTATTGTTGCGTTATTTTATACCCTTCCTAAAACCCTAATTCTATTTCTATCACAGAATGGATGTCTTCTTTCCTATTAAAAGACACTGAAAAATAATGGCAAATGAGCTGTGGTCACTTTGAGCAGCTGCTCAGGACCTCAGTCAAGTATGGGTCTTGATTGCAAAGAGAGTTCTACAGACCCCAGTGAATGGGAGAGGAAACACAGGTCCATCTTATGTACAGAGGTACCACATGGGTACAACTTGACTACACTGAGCACAGTTTCCTAGGCTGTGTTCTGATCCTGCTCTTAGCTGCCACTCGATCCAGCCGGAGTTGACTAAGATACATTCCCAGTTTGTAATACTCAGCCCAGTGGAAAGAAGGGTAATACTGAATATAAAATGGATTACAAGAGCAGAACTGGAGCCCACCTCCCCACTCCTCAGAGAGAAAGTAAGGACTATTGTTGCCACACATTTCCCAAATTTGGTATGGACAAAAACTACATGCATGAAGAGGTGCTGATTGGCAAGGAAGACTCGGCTTCTAACTCATTAGGTATCTGAACAGCCAGTCCATCTGCGTCTAGAGGTATCTTGCTGTGTTCAAAGCTAAAAGTAAGCTCCCCTTTTAACAAGTCAGTGTTTCTACTCTTTTTCTTTCAGATGAATTCTCTTAATATTACTCAAGTAGCCAAGCAGTGAGCAAGAGAGCTCTGAGCGTCAGCTCCCCCCACCTGACACGTTGCATCATATTAATGCTGAATTTCAGACATGAATTATTTTAATGGCCCATTTTATAAGCCATTTATTGTCTGAATTCTTACAAGAATTAGCAAGTTTTATTCTTTCACCACTTAATAAAATTCTTTCCAGCTTTTCCAGCTCAGAAGGGGACAGTGGAAAGCTGGTCAGGGCACATTTGTCCTGTGGGGCAGCAGATTTCTTTACACCAGGGTGCAGGCAGGTCTTCTGGTGGTAAGAAATGGACTGTATGTCAGGAAGCACAGAGTGCAAGGGAAAATTTAGTTCAGAGTTGTTTTTCTAACCTGGGAAAGTGCATAATCTTGCAAAATACTATGAAGAGTACTTGATTGTCATGTGAAATAGTTTAGCCCTAATAAAAATCCCCAGAATAACAAATAGGAAGGTATTTGTAAACGGCATGAAATATCAGAGACCAAAGCAGTGTTTTGCTGTGATGGAATGTCTTAGTACATTATTTATGCATTTTTGTTTTTATTCAAAGCTCTGTAGACACATATCTGCTTAAATACATTAACTTTCCCATTCTACTGTCTCATTGGGCAGAAATAGATTCAAATCACTATGCGTAGTGTATTAATCAGAATCTATACAGAAAATATAAACAACTCTAAATACTTCAAATAGAGAAAATTTAATACATGAAATGGGTTATGCAGATAATAAAAGATCTGAAATGCTAATCAGGGAAGGAGGAGGCAACCCAAAGATATGCAACAGCAAGAAGCCACTACACCTAGGAGGTGATATTTCCAGGAACTGGTACACTCAGGCTGGAACAAGTTCCACAGTGGACACAGGAGTCTGCCCAGCCAAAGCTGGGGACATAGAAGGAGGAGATGACTAGTGGGAATGCAGTCAGAGGAGACACAGTTTCTACTGAAAATGCCTCCCCAAGACAGAGGGAGAAATACATTGACTTCTCTTTTTTCATCTTCCAATTTTCTGTTAGAACCCCACAATTGTCAAAACTACGTGGAAACTAGTTGTCAAGGGAACCCCTAAAATAGTGTTTTCTTTGATTGCTAGCAGAGTAGAGGAAGGGAGGGACATGGATTTAAGGACAAGCAGCAGATGGCCACCCAGCACACACATGCTGACCTACAGCATCCCATCCATGGCAAATACCAAGCGTGTTACTGTTGTGCTATCAGTTTTGAAATTCAGTTCACTTTTTCTTTCCTTTAGTTTAAATTTCTGAGTGACTTTTATTGACTCATCCCTTGCATCCCTCATCCCTTGTAACACACAGATGCTGGAGTTTGCTGTGGTAGAAAAACAGAGATCAGGAGGACGTGCAAAGGGAGAAAACTGGCGGGGAAGGCATTGTATGCTTTACGTGGATATGGCTACATCTAAAAAAGAACTGGAAGGAATACTGTGTTTTTTCAAGTTGTATTTCTTTGGACAGACCCTATATTTAAAAAAAGAAAGTATCCATAACTACTGAGCTTTCTCTGGGTCTGTCATTCCTTTTTAGGATGGCTTTAGGGTCACACAGAGAACAAAGGACATGGGCTCTAGCTTGAGGTCTGCTCTGGCCAGAAGCAGAGAGGCTGTGGATGAAGAAAGGAAAGGAGGCAAAGTGCGTTCCACGTGTCCATCATCCCTGCTCCTACCCCACCTCCTCTGGGTCTACGCCAGGTTTCCCAGGGCATTATCTCCTCTGGTGCCCTCCTCACATTCCTCGCCCAGGTGGGTCCTCACTGGTGGACGCTTGTGGGTACCTGGAGCCACCACAGCCAGTAGTGGGATCTGTCTCTCACCAACTCTAGCCTCCAGGCTTTGACCCCCACATGCCCCTTCTCTTGTCCTGCTGGGATTCATTAGACCTGACCAGAACTGCCTGAGGCCAGACTCTCCTTATAATTTCCGTTTACCAAGACCCAATAATGTGCCCAGAACCTGACTACACACTTTGCCTGGATTTAATCCTCATGCCAATATCAGGTTACAGATGAAGAGGCAGATTTAGAGATAAAATAATTTGTCCAGGTCACCCAACCAGTAAGCCATAGAAGTGGAGCGTGAACCAGATTCTTTGTGTTCAAGCATGCACGGTATTATACTGGCTCCTACAACCCAGGGCCAGTCCAGGGCAAACAGCAGGTTCCTCCTCATTCATCCCAGTCCCTCAGCATCTAGAGGACTGTGCCCTTTCACCAGGCATCTCAAAGCCACAGTCAACTCCAGACACCCGGGAGCTAAGGAGAGCTGGATGGGCAGCAATGTCTCCAGGGGGACCGGCCAGCCAGCAGAGTGCCCAGCTCGCTGGGTGCTGACCAGGACTCAGGCAGTGTGCGCCACCAGGCCCAGGACTCCTAAGTAGCCTTCCATCTCACAGACAGAATCAGTGTCAGCTGATCAAACACATTTCTTCCCTTGTCTCTTCTCATTTAGGGGGCTGTATCTACTTCCTACAGCTTATTCTGCACTGCTTATCAGGACTAATATAAAATCATTCTAATAATAATCCATCCAAACTGGCCTTCATATCTGGCGTCTGGAGTATAACAGAAATCTTTTCATTTCAGTTTTAAAGCATTGCTTCATCCACCCAACTGACTGCAAACTGACACATAGTCTAACCTAAAGGTTATGGATCAGTTGGTAAATGCAGAAATTCTATTAGTTTTCAGACCTGGGGTTGATGCCATTCATTTTAAATGAAATAGAAATCCTATACAGGAATAGGAAAAGCACCGTGGACAGATTCATTTTTAACAGCATCCACTTACCTACTATGCAAGGGCCAAGAAGGCAGTAGTTTCTATATCATGCAGAGATACTTTTTATTCCTGTTCATCGACTTTGACAAAGACAGTAAATAGCATGGAGAGAATAGATACATTTTGAAGAAATATTAAAACACTGATTAATGTAACATTAAGAAACTTAAAGTCCCTTGGGTAGAGGGAGAGAAAAATTAAAATGCCATTGGTCCTTAATGAAACTGCACCAAGCTTATATAAATCTAAATTCCTTGCTTTAACCTGAGTTTAAAATAATGGGCTAACTTGACAGTGCTTTACAAATCCTAGCAATGAACATTATCATTTATTACCAGAATGAGTGATAATAAGAGTAGCAGAGAGATAGCGTATATTGGGAAGTGTCCAAAGAGTTTAGCAAGACAATATTTCTTTTTCACAATATAAAGATAAAACAATTGTAAACTGAGAGTTCATTTCATTCACTTGGAGGAGAAGGGCAGGTGGGTGTTCTGGTTAAACAGATTGCAACCCTCTCCTATAGGAGCATAAAGGAGAATGAACAAACACAAGAGGTAATATTCGCTTCACAGTGCAAGAAGGTACATGGATTTAAAGTCCATCACAGTAATTAAATTTCAATGTTGACACAGTACATCTCAACATTCAGAGTTCTAAATATAGTTTATACAGTGCCTCTGAGCAAAATGCAATGCACATGAATATTTATCTCTGTAGTGAAGATTCTTCTGCCACATGCTCAGAAAAGGAGGGTTGAGATTAGGACAGACCAAAACAGGGTCCACAGAATTTGATGATAATCATTTCAAAATAGTTGAAATGAGCTTGCAGCCTCATCTGAAGCAGTGATTTTCAAGCATTTTTGGTTGCAGAACCCTTTGTACAAATGAAATCTAATTAGAGGCCAAATATTTGAAATAGATTGGAATGAAAATAGATCAGTTGATTTTTGAAGAGGGGCAGGGTGCTCCACACCCCTCACTTCTCAATGCCACGCTAGACTTTGAAAGGCACAACCTAAAACTACTCTTTTAACCCATAAATAAGTAAAATAAAAAAATCCATTTGGTATTCGATTGATTTTAAGGTACTGTAGTGATTTGAAGGTACTGACAGATGGTAGAGAGCTATATATTTCAAAGAAGGGCTTATGGAATTGGTTGATTATGATAGGGAGGAAGCAATAAGATTAGAAGAAGTAAATGTTATTTACTTTCTGCCACATGAAGGAAGATTCTGTCTTCTTTCATATTATTCCCAGGCCCTCAATGGTGGACCTGGTTCCACTCTGTCTCTGCCCCTAGCCCCAGTCCATCCAGCTGTTTCCTAAGAGACGGTGTCTGCGCTCAGGCTCTCCCCTTGCTGGAAATGCCTGGGCTGGAAGCTGTTGTCCTTCCTCTTAAGCCCAGTATGTTCCTCCAGCATTAGCCCAGATTTTCTTACGCATATTCATAGTTTCTTAGTCAGCTTAGGTTAAACATACTGTGGTACCAAATAACCCCAATTCCTCAGTGACTTATAACGTCTTATTTCTTGCTGGTATCGCATGACCATAATGGGTTGGCTGGATGTCTTTTTCACTGTGGGATCCAAGCTAATGAGACATTGCTGGCCCTGTGACAGAGAAAAAGCCATGTGGCTGTATACCATATAAGGCCTCTCAAAGCTTCTGCTTGAAAGTAGCACACATCAGTTCTTCTCACATTCCTTTGGACAAAATAAACTACCTGGCCTTTGAGAAAACTCGACTCAACCATCTCAGCTTGGTTTCTTTCATCCTGTGATTTCAATGGTGGATACCATATTTCTCTAGAGCTGCTGGTGTGACTCGTGCCAGTTTCCACTGAAAGCTAGAAGTAGAATTTCTTAGGTTTCTCTTTTACAGCTTGTTTCTTCTTTTAGGATTGAGATTTAAATAATTTCATATCTGAGGCTTTAAGATATTTGGAAAGCAGAGATACCTAATATTAATACATCCTGAACAAAAAAGATTGCTATGCCTTAGTGCTCCTGACTCTCCAAAGAGCATCCTATAATTATGAAATCACAGCTTTTAAAAATATTTTCCATATACATTAAGAGTGACAGACATGATTTGCATCAGGAGGAATTGGGCTTTGCATCATAGATGCTTATTAGCAGATTCATGGATCGACAGACGCACAACCTATTCATTCATTCAGCATCTGCTATGAACCAAGCAAGTTCTGTGCCAGATTAAATCCATCCTACTCTCATGTAGTTTATAAATACAACCCAACCTGGGAGGGATAGCAGACATCGTAAAAGCATTTTCAACATCTGACATCATGCCAGTGGCTACAATGATCCCAGCTCTACCATTTACTGACCATAAGACCTTGGGCAAGTTACTGAGCTTCTATAATACTTCCCACACATAAGGTGGGGAGGATGTAACTACTTCATAGGTTTGTTGTGAAGATTTCCTGAGATAATGAAAAGTACTTATTTGTACCTAGAGCTTAGCAAGTACTCAATAAACATTAGTCATGGCCCTCATCACCGCCATAGCCAGATTATATGTTAGAGCGGTGATGTAGAGAATATGGCTTTGTAGAATTTCATCTGAAAAAGATCTCAAGTTCTTCATTGAAGAAGTTTAAGATGGGTCAACAGTATAATGTAGCTGTTTAAAAAACTAAAGCCAACTCAAGCAATAGATAAAAAATGTCATGCTGTAGGAAAATTAATTCTTTTTTTTTTTTTTTTTTGAGACAGGGTCTCACTTTGTTGCCCAGGCTAGAGTGAGTGCCGTGGCATCAGCCTAGCTCACAGCAACCTCAAACTCTGGGGCTCAAGCGATCCTCCTGCCTCAGCCTCCCAAGTAGCTGGGACTACAGGCATGCACCACCATGCCCGGCCAATTTTTTTGTATATATATTTTTAGTTGGTCAATTAATTTCTTTCTATTTTTAGTAGAGACGGGGTCTCGCTCAGGTTGGTTTCGAACTCCCAACCTCGAGCAATCCGCCCGCCTCGGCCTCCCAGAGTGCTAGGATTACAGGCATGAGCCACCGCGCCCGGCCAGGAAAATTAATTCTACTTCAATCTTCCCTGGTCAAATCTCACTTAGAATATAGAAATATGTTTTCTGGTGTGTGGCATTCGTTTTTGAACAAAAGATGCCTACTATATCTGCATCACACAGAGTCCTAAGCACATAGTTCCCATAAAGATGAGTTCCTGGTACTCTTTTGTTTGTTAAATCACTAGAAGTCATGAAATGCTCTAGGAATGTTCCAGACAGCTGTTGGTCGATCCTACAAGGATGTTTTATAGTGCCCTTTAGAATGTCAAAAGGACCTAGACCAATTCCTAATTTCCTGCTGATCCTTACCATCTGTTACTTTGACCTTTTCATCAAAGGCTCCTCACACTGCTGGAAGCCCTGCTTATTAATACCCAGTATGATATTCTTCTTGTGCTTCTTTGGCTCAGTCTCAGCACTACCAGTTGCATATATTTCGTCTGCCATTATGGTTTCAAACAGCTCACCAGAACACAAAAATATATGGCAGAAAGAGAGGCTCCTGAGGGGCATATAACACACATAGCTGAACACTTTCAACTCAGTACAGCACAGTAGATTGTTCACTGGCCGAGAACATTTGCCATATGGGGCACAAACGTTTGCTGCCTGAGAGCATCCAGTACAGCCTACCATATCGGCTCTCATTGGCTCGGAGTACGCTGGCACTCTGAGGATCTGAAAAATCAGATATTAACAGTATGCTCTAGTGAATTGTTCTATGAATACATAGATGTTTCTTTTGGGAAACTATTGCATATACAAATAGTATTGTAATAGCTCAGCCAGCAAGGGGCACTCTTAAATGGAACACGTGCTCAAATTTAGTAGCACTTTAAAAGGGACAAGTATAAGCTGGTGTCTGCTTAGGGAACAACCTGGTGAAGGATATAGGACACTTGGTCAAAGCAGCTAGGAATGCG